CCCCCCTCCACGCCACCTTGTATCGCAGCAGGGGCCGGCCCATGCGAACGTCCCACGTGCGCACAGGCCCGTGCCGGGAGCTCGCCAGAAGGTACATGCCGTCCATCGTCAGGTCCACCGACGTCACCGCGCCCACCGCTTGACTGCGCACAGCAGACAGGACAGGTGTTGGTTCATGTGCCAATGAGTAGACAGCATCATGACAAGATAAGGACGAAGACGACGAGCAATATGCCCAAAACAAGAGAGAAAAAAAAAACGTGACGGCATCCTGTGATGCCCCCCGACCGTTTTTTTCAATCGGAAAGACACGAATGTAACGACTGAGTCACAACAAACAGCGGAGAACAAAACAAACAAAAAAGTGACATGATGTGATACCCCGACAGTTTTTTTCGACCGAAGACACACGACAACGACTGACAGTCGCACCAGGGAAAAAAAAACAAACATGACAGCATGCGATCGGCCGGCGGTTGTCTGCATTGGGGCACCTCGCTCGGCAGGGAGAGCGGCGCATCGGTAGGGAGCTAGTTGCACCGCACCGTCCGCGCTGACATCCGCGCGACGGTCGATTGGTTGCCGTTTGATAAACGCGGGTTGACGAAAAAGAAGCAAATTCAGCCCGGAACCCAATCGGTTTCTCTCTCTCACTGCCAAGACTTCAACGCATCCCCTTAGACTTTGGTATCATCTCTAATGGGCAGTCTCTTTCCGTGATTATCAACTACAGCATTTGTCTCAAGAAACGCCAACGCAAGTCGGGGCCGGCGGCATTATACCATGAACGGGCCGACTGCACGGCACACCCTGCCTGCGACTTATCTTTTCTTTTCCTATTTTTTTTTTTTTTACCTCAGCGTCTTGACGCACACCCCGCTCATCACGTCCCAGAACTTGATGGCGCTGTCCCTGCCCCCGCTCACCAGGAGGTTGCCGTTAGGATTGCTCACGGCGTGCAACACCCCAGCCTCGTGCCCCGCAAACACCTTCACCTCCTACCCAATCAACCACCAAGACAGCAGTGGAAGCGTCGCGTAACGACGGAGGTTCGTTCGAAACGACGGGTGTTCGGTCCATCCGGAAGCACACAGTAACGACCAAGGGTTCGATGGCCCCTCAATTTTGACAACAGCGGCAGGCGTGACAGCATGTTGCTGGTGGTGTAGGTGTTTAGTTCTTGCTGTCTTCACACAATAACAACAGTTCCGACCTTCGCTCGGTACCTTCAAATTCGTCCTGATCCAACTGACTGTCGAGGACGCCTTCGTTCCGCGGCCACAAGCCAACCTACTACCCAACGAGGGGTGCACCTTCTTGCCATAGACTAGAACGAAAAAAAGAAAACAAAGATCCAGAAAAAAAATCCTGTGCGCTACGAAAACTTGATAGCCTACGCATAGAAAGTAAGTTTCACACGAACAAAGACTAGGCAGGGAGCACGCAGACCCTAGCCCCAACCCCAACGTAGCTGATTCTGTTCTTTATCCTGAATATATTCTTACGTAGAAAAAACTGTGTAGACTACTGCGAAAACGACGCGTCGGTAGACGTGGGATGACCGGAAAGACGGCTGTGCCTCATGAGCGTTTGGGTGTGTGTTTTCGTCTTATGTATGATGGCGACAGTCACCCTTCAGTGTATATAGAATTCTGCACTTTTCGATGTATTCTTTCGTACAACTTAAACTACCCAGGGTCACACAGAAGGGGGTAAACACTGGAGTACACGAAAAAATCCTGAATGAGGCCATACAAGCACAGGTGAGGGATTTGGCCGGTTACTTCAAAACGAGTACCCTGCACTATTCAGAGCATGAACACAACTTGAGATGCTTCCCATCTTTTGCCGCGCGATTTCCCCGGCCTTGTACAGGGCCACCGGCCTTATTTATTGCGGCCTTACAGCATACGGGGACCGCCCCTGACCCTTATATTGTACAGGGACCTGCTGCTGTACTGCTGGTGAACCAAATACTCCATCTGCAGTTGCTAGCGCTTGTTGAACACTCACCGTCTGCGGGCACTCCCGCCTCAAAAACAAAACGCCTCCTCCCCCCCTCCCCATCCTACCATCGCGCATGAAACGAAACACCCGTGCTACGGCTGTGCACAAATCCTCCTGCAACCCCCCC